ACACACACACACATACACACACATACACACATATACACACACACATACACACATACATATACACACACACATACACACATACATATACACACACACACATACACACACACACACACATACACACACACACACACATACATACACACACACACACACACACACACACACACACACACACACGTGCACGCGCACACACCTCCCCGAGTATAATGATGTAGGGAGAGGAAGATAAATGTTTATTTGACATATGTTTAATTGACATAGTTCAGAATTAGCGAACTCTGAAGTGTCTTCCCTGTTCCACTGGTGGCTTTCTTGGCAATCTTGAATATAACGAAGCTTACCTCAATATTAAAAAGAAGACTGAGGGCTGGGAATATAGCTCAGTGGTAGAGTGCTTGCCTGGTTAGTGTCAGGCTCTGTGGAGGTTTGGATGAGAATGGTTCCCATAGGCTCACAGATCGGAGTGCTTGGTCGCCAGCGAGAGACACTATTGAAAGGATTAGGAGGTGTGGCCTTGTTGGAGGAAGTGTGTCACTGGGGACGGACTTTGAGGTTTCAAAAGGCCATGCCAAGCCCCGAGTCTGTCTTTCTTCCTGCTGCCGCAGATCTGGATGAAGAAAACTTAACTACTTCTCCAGCCATGTCTGCCCGCTTGTCGGCGTGCTCCTCACCATGATGATAGTGGACTAAACCTCTGAACTGTAAGCCAGCCCAGTTAAATGCTTCTTCTTTTAAGAGTTGCTATGGTCATGGAGTCTCTTCACAGCAATAGGACACTGACTAAGACAGGCCTTAAGTTCAGTTTTCAGAGTCAAACAAACAAAAAATGCCCTCTCCCCCAATCTTGGGACTAGAGAGATGGCTCAGAGGTTAAGAGCACTTTTTGTTCAAGGACTTGGGTTTGGTGCCAAGCACCCATATTAAGCAGCACGCAACCATCTATACATGCAGTTCCAGGGAGCTGACACCCTCCTCCTGCCTCTTTGGGTACCTGCATGCATGTGGTGCACATATATGCTGTGGGATGTTCTGTGTGTTAAATGTGTTGCTCTGATTGGTTAATAAATAAAACACTGTCTGGCTAGTAGCCAGGCAGGAAGTATAGGTGGGACAAGGAGAGAGGAGAATTCTGGGAAGTGGAAGGCTGAGTCAGAGAGACGCTGCCAGCCGCCGCCATGAGATGTTAAGATACTGGTAAGCCATGAGCCACATGGCAACTTATAGATAATAGAAATGGGTTGATTTAAGATATAAGAACTAGATAACAAGAAGCCTGCCATGGCCATACAGTTTGTAAACAATATAAGTCTCTGTGTGTTTACTCAGTTGGGTCTAAGCAGCTTCAGGACTGGTGGGTGAGAGAGATTTGTCCTGACCGTGGGCCAGGCAGGACTGGAGAAAACTCTAGCTACACATATATTCAGTAGGCACATGCATACACACATAAATAAATCTATAATTAAAAAGAGAAGACTGAGAGTTTGCACTGGAATGGCCCGACTTGAAGTTCTTTAAACTAGAAAATGTTGGAACACACAAATTAGTCTTATTATCAATTTTTTCATTAAATTGCTAGTTAAGCATTATCCAGGTATCATTATATTTACAACTATGTGAGAGGCCTGCTTATGCTCAGTGGGCGACTGATATATCCTGGGCCTCCCACTATGTTTTGATGTCTGTTACTTCACTAAGCTGTAACAGAGCAAAAGGAAAAGGCGCAGTTGATTGTGAAACCGAGAATTGGACAGGCAAGGTGACCAGCTCAGCAGGCAGTGCCGAAGTCCAGACTGGCCCATCAATACTTCCCCTTCCTCCTGAGCCCACTTCTAACAGATACCACAAGCTGGGTGGAGTCACAGGGGTATTGCACACGGTGGCCAGTGAAACAGTCTGCTGTGCTTTAACAGCAGATCGTATATAATCAAGTCATCTAATTATAGGTTTTGAGGACTAAATTGTTAAATTTATTTTTCAGTTAAAGAAAAAAAAATACAAACTTTGATCTCTGCACAAATAATTGTAAAGACAGGATTACTGGGCCCCAGGCATGATTCTAAGCACCTTAGATGGGTCGATTCCCTTCATACTAAAACATCAAACACTAGTATTTCCATATCATCATCATCACCACCACCATCACCATCATCATCAACACCACCATCACTACCACCACCACCACCATCACCATCATCTTCATGACTGTTGGTTATGCTGCGGTACTCATGGCTGGCCGCCATCCACGGTGGCCATGCTGGTGGAGGAGAGTGCTGATCGGAAGAATCACAAGCCATGGTTACCTTTCTAGAGCTTTATTGGGGTGGGGGAGAGGAAGAGAGAGAGAGAGAGAGAGAGAGAGAGAGAGAGAGAGAGAGA